TCAACACCTACTGATTAGCTCGTAAACTATTCACCTGTGATCTGTTGATCATAGTCAGCCCTTGCCTAATGAAACTAACGAAGCCATCATTGACAGCAGGTAATTTTGGCCGTTGTATTCCGTTTAATTATCTCTTTCGCGTGCTATCTGTCTTATGCGAGTATAAAGCTTAGCCACCCGTTACTGATAGTCTCGAGGGCCCATTTCCTTTCGTATATATGAGATGTATTCATCCTATTTCATGTAAGTTGATAAAGCTATTGGACTGGACCATAGGTTTCCATTGGATTTCACACAGTTCCGGCTGGAGTGGACTGCGGCTTCGACTTCATCTTGGTTTCACATCATCCCCAACGGGACTCGAACCCTGGCCATTGTAGTGCACTGTGTATCCTCGACATTTTAGCCACTACGCCACACTGCTTCTAGTTCAAAAGAATAACAGGACAAATATAAATTTCAAAGAAGGTCAGACAATTTCCCATATAACATAGTAGGAGTATCGATGACGCAAAGTTGTATTTTCCACACCAATCGACCAAATTACGTTTTTTCGTTTTTTATAGAGATAATTTCGAGCCTACCAGTAGACCTAGGCGAGGTCAAAGCTGCAGTCCAGTCCTGTCTGGATGGGAATATCTTGTGGGAAAGCAAGGCAAGAAATTTAATGAAAGCCTATGGCCTGCTCATTTGAGTGTGAAAAAGTCCAACTACCAGTCCCCATATCACCTAAAACGAAATAGGATTAATACCTCTCATATATATGATCTAATGGTAGTCTCGAAAACCTGCTTATAATAAACAAAAAATGCTTAACATATTAATCTTAAATAACAAAATACAATTTTTCATATGTAAGTAGAGTTTTGAGAGTAACACTAATTTCGTACATCTCATATTACTGATTTACTGGTATTCTCGAAAGTCTACTTACGAAAAATAAGTAACGTAGTCGATTGTTATAGCAAAAATACGTTTGCTCATCGAAAATCCCACTAAAGAATGTGATATGAGAAATTCACATCTTCCCTGTGACTCAAGGGCACTCGTGACAATGTGGCCAAGTGGTTAACGTGTCAAGTTCACATACTGCACTTTCAGGGTTCGACTCCCGCTGGGGACTCCTATGCGAGATCGAAACTGCAGTCCAGCCGGGATTAGGACACCTTTTGGGAAAAAAAGCTATGTGGAATTCAATAGAAACGTCAGCTCTGC